TGTGAGGAACACTTGCTGAAGTGAGGGAGCGGAGGTCCAGCTTCACCGTTGTTGTGCCGAGTTGTCCGCACCTCGCGGGACTTTCGTATAATTTATCACCGTTGATGAACCACACAAAGAATATTAGAATATTATATCATTTTTAAATAGCCGCTACTTGAAATAGGCCCCGAGGAACCGCGACATGCATGCAGTTGTCGGCAGCACGGCGTGCATGCAAAACTCACACAAGACCGGTGAATGCCAGGCGAGAGCGAGAGAAAAGGGTCAACAATAAGTGCCAGTTTAGCTGGAAATTTACAGTGTAAGTTGAATGAATAGCGACTGACTTTCGAGATTAAAGCGGAGCCACCATGTGTCCCTCCCCCCCGGCTCGCAATCGCCGTGCACAAAAACACATGTGATTCGACTATCAGTCGACTATAGCAGGACTTGACAATTCTGATTTGACTATGTAAATCCTTAGTCGGGGACAGCCCTAATATATATATAATATATATATATATATTATATATATACATATATATATCTATATATATATATTATATAATATATATTATATATATATTAATATATATATATATATATATATATATCATACATACATACATACATACAATCATACATACATACTACATACATACATACACACACACACACACACACACACACAATAATCATGTATATATACATATATAAATAATGGTACTAAATAGGGCAACTTTAGACATCATTAATTACACACACTACTGCACCTGCTTACTTAGACTATATTAATACTATATTTTTATAAAACAAGTATGGTGTGCACGAGCGAGTCTCTAGATGCTCAGCAAAAACCACAATATTCATCGCTTTATCTCTCCAGATTCACTCTGTACTTGAGCTGAAACGATTAGTTATCGACAGAATACATCCGCAACTATTTCATGTAAAAATGTAAATCATTACCTAGTTCCCGCTTCTCTGTGTGAGGATTTGTTGTATGATAGCAAACTAAATCTCTTTGGAGTTTGCACTGTTGTATGGATAAAACAAGCCATTTGAAGAAGTCACTGTGGGCTTTAGGAAATTGTCATGGGCATTTAATCTGATATTTCACAGACAAACTATCAACTGATAAATCAGGAAAGTAATCTGTAGATGAATAAAAAATGTATTTTTTTATTTGTTGCAGCGTGGTTTGAGCCATTGTCTTCACCTCGCGTTGATAGTGCATTTCTCCAATTTACGCTTTACGTAAGCTGGCTGGCTAAGTTGCTCCAAGCGGCACACCCGCAAGAAGACACAAACACAGCAGCGTGCAACAACACATAAAGTCTCTGAAGCCAAAACCAAGCAGGAAAGAAAACAGAAGAAATGAAGAATTATAGCACTACGCAGTCACAAATTACAGATGAAAACTGTGTCTTATACAAACAAAAAACTCAAATTCACACTTTTGCCAAAGACATAAGACCTGTGGACAAACATGACATTACCAATCACACGGGGAGTAACTCAGATGTGCACCAATCACAGGCGCACACACTGCCGGGGCAGCCATCTTTAGTAACAGGAGCCAGGGCTGACAAGTTTGGTCTATCATTTTGAGGCCCAGAAATTCCTGCATGTCTGCATACCACAGAGTGCAAGGGGAGGGGGGGCACAAAGCAAAGGAACAGAGGGACAGAAAGGAAAAAAGGAGAAGGGAGGGAGTGCAGAGGGAGAAGAAGGTGGAGCAACAGAAGCGGGGAAGAGAAATGGAGAGAGAAAAAGAAAAAAGGCAGGGAAACACAATTCTTCTCTTTTTTGTCACACTGGTGTCTGACGCTTTTTGCAGGTCGTTGGTAAAATTATTTAAAGTTTAGTGAGGGAAGAAGGAGAGAGGGTAAAAAGCAGGGAATGCATACTATGAGCATGACTGCAGTCTTGTCCTGTGCTACTATTGTTTTTACTACTGTTCAATAAAGATACTGTCTTGCGAAGGAGATAGAGAGGATTGTGGATCAGCAGCAGCCATTTTTACTGCAGTCTTCTAACTCTGTCACTGCTCCAGTATCAGAGGGGTGCATTTAGGCAAAGTGAGAAAGATAGCCCTTTCTTTTGTTATCTGTCTTGCAAATATATATTACCACTCAAGCTATCAGGAAGAGTGGAGATGACATAGGCAGCCAAGAGCCTGATGTTAGTACATCATCACTTTTATACGACAGGACCGTTGTGGCATGATCAGGCATAAAAACGACTCCATAGTGTTTCAAGACAGCAGCAGGAGTGAGGCCAGCTGAAGTGTAAACCCTTCATTTTATGGAATCTCAGCCTGAGAGGAAACTTAAAACTCTCAGTTTCAACATTCACAACATCATCCTGTGACCTCCACTCAGCCCTTGTTCATCACCTAAACTAGGGTTGATGTCTTTATATCCTGTGTATCAAGGCATGACACTTAAACATAAACACCAAGCACCAACAGTTATCTGACAAGTTGCGTTTACTCATACGTGAACCTTACTCATGTCACACA